AATTCAAAGATCAAGAATAGAAAAAGTCTACGATCTTTTCAAAGAAACAATCCCAAGAGAAAAGTAGCCAAAGCTTCAACTGCAACAGAGGCAGTGTCTTTAACTCGTGTCCCAAGAAGGAGTTCATCCAGGAAGAGCACTTGCAAATCTGCAGATGCTGAGGCGCAAGCTAACCAAAGGTATGACATCTTCTCTACTCGTGAAATTATTCTGGAACGGTTGGTAGATTAAGAGAATGACGACACTTGGGGATACTTGGAAATAATCAAGAAAGGTCATCTTGAGAAAATTGTCAGCAATTTGGGAGGATATATTCCAAAGATTGACAAGGAGTTCTATGCTGCAGTTTCTGGTGAAATAACACCCACCTCAGAAGAAAAGGTGGACGTTGTTGTAAGAGGTCAGTAGTTTCAATTCTCTCGTGCAGTGATTAATGATTTCTTCAAACCTGAACCACTGACTGAGAACGAAGTTGTATCTGATGAAGCGGCTATTGCAATCTCAAGTGAAGACCTAGCCAATCTCAAGTGAAGACCTATAAGACTTCCTGACAGAAGGAACACTTGGTCTTAAGAGTCTAACCACTCGACCTTTGTGTCCTTGTAAGGCTGTATTGGTAATTATTTCAGCTTACAATTGGGTGCCTTCATCTCACAAGAGCGTCATTTTGGTAGACAGGGCACGTCTCATCTACAAGATGTTTGATGGTATACGGTGCAATGTGGGAAAGATGATCTACTCTCAAGTTCTGAATCTGGGAGTGCTTTAAAAACAAGGAGGTAAAAAGGACACTAGATGTTTATATTTCCTCGAACCATTTACGGGGTTCTTCTCAGTCAACATGCATTACCAAGGAAGCCTAGAGAGAGGCTTATCTCTGTGATTCACTACAAGAAGGATCCACGTCTCGGTGAGGAGTACCTCAAGAATCAGGAATAAAAACGGGAGGCAGCAAAAGAATCTCAGAGAGAGACAAAGAAGTAAGAAAAGTCTCGCTCTGCCTCAAAGACTCTTACTAAGTCTGCTTCACCTTCTAGCTTAACTCAACTAGGAGTGCACCACCGTATGAGCTCCCTACTGCAGCAGGAAAGTAACAGCTCATTCAGCTCGGAAGATTCCCAACTACTCGTGAACCCATTGATGTTAAAGAAGCACAGATCGCCTTGGAAGAAGTGACGAATGCTGTTCTTCACATGGAAGTAGGATGCAGACTCTGACAACCGTGGTAACCCAGATCGCAAATATGATGCATGCAAGTAATTTTTCTCTCTGAGTTACACACGCAAGTGCAACAACGAATGGAGCAGAGTCTACGACAGAGAGTGTGCATGCAGATGAACAAGATAAAGACTTGTAGAATGGCTTGGCGATCAAGTTGGAGTTAATGCAATGACGACTTGAATAGCAAGATAAAGACTTGAAGAATGGCTTGGTGTGTGCATGCAGATGAACAAGATAAAGACTCTAAGAATGGTTTGGAAATCAAGTCAGAGTTAATGCAATGACAGCTTGAAGAGCAAGCATGGAGAGATTCACCTTGGAAAAGGGAGATCTCGTGATGGGAAGTTTACAAAGATTTAGTATGGGTTTTTTAGGAACTTACCATATTTGTATAGTTAGTGAATATTGGATAGATAGGCTAGGGTAGCCGACTTGACAATAATGTATATATAGTCTAATACGACCTAGGTATTAGGGTTTTCACAATAAGCGAGTGAAAGCACTAAGGGCTAAGAGGAGAGGTTCTAGAGATCTTGTATTCGATCTTAGAACATGTGAGGCTAAGGATTCTGTTTAAAAATAGACTTGTAAGTTCGCTTTAAAAGAATACTAGCAAATATACATATCTTTGTAGAGATATTCTCTGGTGTACTTTGTGCTTTACATCTGTGCCATAATTCTTGCATTTACACAAGATTGCTACATTTACACAGGAGCGTACAGAATCATTCAAGAGCTCCTAGATCAGATTCAAGTCTTTTCAGAGAGATTTCCCACAGCACGGATTCAATGAAGTGCAACTGCACAACACTTTCTACAGAGGCATCGCTTTGCAATATCAGATGGCTATCTAGTGAAGGAAACTTCACTAGGAATCCAGAAGAGGCTGTGAGATTCATTGAGAACTTGGCATCTAGCAATAATACCAAGAATATTGATTATACGAGAAGAAAATCTGCTGATGTCCTTGGAAAGGAACATATTGAAGAAGTAAAGGCAAGGTTAGATAATGTCCATAAGCTTCTCAAGAAGCAGGTTTGCTTTGCAGAAGATGTAGAAGCTGTAGGTATGGAAGACTACACTGAAACAAAGGAAGATATGAACTTCATTACTGGCACAGGATTTCAGAGGTCTGGAAACCAATATGGAAACATAAACTTCTATGGGAATGGACAGAGAAGTACTTACAACCAGAGTTCACAATACCAGAGACCCTACAGCAACCACAACAAGAGCTATGGGAGCTCATCTTACAAGAATCCACCACCACTTACTTAGGAGAGTAAAATAGAAGCTATGCTTGATCAGGTTCTTGAATGTCAGCAGAAGCTAACAGTGAATTTCAATGGGAAAATTGATTTCGTCTACAGCAAGCTGAAAAAAAAGTTTGAAACTTTGAGCACTCATGTGAAGAAGCTAGAGATGTAGGTAGTTTAGACAGGAGAAGCTGTTAAGAGGCAGGAAGCCTTTGGAAAAGGGATAGCAAGTGAAACAATGAAACACCACGTGAATGCCATCTTAGATGATGATTTCTGGCAAGTGGTCAAGTATGAGAAACTTCAAGAAAGAGATTTTGAAGTTGAAATCTCCATGAGTTTCGGAGGATCACACTGGTGTTGATCGACGCCAATTGACAGCCATCGACCGATGGACTACACCGAATCACGATCGATAGAATCTTCTCAGCATCAATCGACGAATCCAACAGAGTCTATAGCATCATGCAACGCGATCAAAATCATGACCCACGAGGAGTTCGCGGCAAAACACCCTTACCCACCCAAAACTTTCACCTCAACATCAATCGATCCATATTACCAACAATCGATCGCTACCAGGATACATATGACGATCGATACCCAGAACCACCCATCGATCGACGTGCACCTCTTACTTGCTGAGTGCAGACACCACCGATTGATGCAACACGACTTGTGTCACTCAAGCACATGACAACTCTTTTAACCAACCCATCAGATGACATCATTACACGTCCATATTATGCAGCAGAGCATATGTAAGTTGATGGAGCCAAAATTGAAAGACCCTTTAGAAAAAGGAAATAGAAGGTTGCTAAGCATTTGAAAAGGAAAGTCAATGAGAAGGAACTGGTTAGTTTCACAAAACAAATCCTTAAGATTCCCATACATAAGCCATTTGAGGAGGCTAATAATACCCACAGATTGTGGATGTTCTTAAGAGAAACTAGTGAAACTGAATAAGACATTGAGAGATTCTTCAAACAGATCAGAGACAAGATGAGAAACCGGATTACATTGAAGAAAAAGAGTGATCGAAGGAAGTTTGCAATACGCTGCTTGGTAAAGGGTATCGAATTCCCACATGCTTTATGCGATATAGGAGCTTCAGACAGTATCCTACCAAAGGTTATGGCAGATTAATTAGGTCTAAAGATAGAGCCGTCAAAAGAATCATTCACCTTTGTGGATTGTTCTCAAAGGAACTCAGGAGGAATCGTTAGAGATCTCGAGGTGCACATTGGTAATTCCCTAGTCCCAAATTATTTCCATGTTTTGGACAACAAGTTGAACTGGAACTCTTCCCTTCTACTTCAGGAGCATTCATGGCAATTGTTGGAGCTGTTTGTAACATGCAGACCAACCAGTTGTGCCTAACCCTAATAGATCCAAACACCTACTATGACCATGTTCGAGTTGGCAAGTTCCAGAGGCCTTCAATATGAAGTGGAGACAACTTATGATTCATTGCAGCATGCCATTTTGGAGCTGAATACGAGACAAAGTACAAGGAATCGATTGAGACGCACACTGCATCATCGATCGACAGTGACTATATTCAGCTATCAAGCTATAACTACATGGACATATGGATCAACAGTCATTCCAACACTGTGATAGATGATTACCCAGAAGATTCCATCGATAGTTGGGAGAATGACTACTATCAACCTACTGCTGCTATCAACACTTTCCACCATCAGAGCACTATGATCTAGCTACAGAGGAGTACGATGAGTACTATAAGGATGAACATGCTATTGAGTATGGTCTTCTTAAAGATGATGATAGGATTCTCACTCATTCCTATAGAGCATCGATTATACCATCAGTCAACAATGTTCACCGACCATCGATCAATGGTAATTCTGGATATAGACGATTTTCCTTACCACACTACAGCTATCCTAATTTTGCTTCCAACACCATACCTGAGCCAGTAATGAATAATAATCATTGTGATATGGTCAGCAAGCAAGAGTGCTATTCAATTGGAAGTTGGGCAGATAATAGTTTTTCTGAGTGTTTCGCTGTAGACACTACAACACCTTCATAATGAGATGATCTTGATGAATTTGACAAGAACTACAGAAAAAACAAAGTATATGTACAATTAATAAAAGTTTAAATGTATTTCAGTCATTTTTTATTCTGTGTGAAAATGTTAAAGTGATATTTTTTATGAAATTGAGGTAATATGTATATATAAATCGTTGAATCTGTTTTAGTGGTCAAGTTTTGGCTCATTTCTCGAGAACAGTTAAGTCTATATGGTGAGGACGTACATGAGTAAATTTTAATCCAATAATTCAGCTGGTTGGGGAGCTAACGGATTGCCTTCCTAACTCTTTGAGTCAAATCTTATCGGAACAATTAGTTTTCCAAAAAGGAACAAGAAAAAGATAAATTTATTGGACCCACATCATTGAATAATCCAACTAACGTACACAAAACTATAGAATCGGTCTATTAATAACCCAAAAGTATAACCAAACAACAAGACAAGAAAAAGTTTTTAGAAAACACACTTCTTGTCTCGGAAACAAAAAAAAAAAGAAGAAGGAACTTACAAGAAAAGAGATCAATGGAAGAAGAATACATAAGAGTGATTAACATAACAGTAATTGGTGTTATCTCATGGGGTTTGATTTTCATCCTCGTGCGACGAATCTTCTCAAACTACTCCTTCGACTTCAGCACTCGAATTGTCTCGACCCTTCACGCCACAGTCGCGGTCGTTTTAGCTACTCTTACGATTCAAGATTGGTCTTGTCCAGTTTGTCCCATCGCTTCTACGTCATCTCTCCAGCAGATGGAAACAATGGCGTTTTCGTTATCTTACATGATCTACGATCTCATTTGTAGTCACTTTGATCAAGTCCTTAGCATTGATAATGCTGTTCATCATTCTGTCTGCATTCTTGGTTTTGTAGCTGGACTTTTCTACCGAAAGGTAATATATATTTTGTTTAATTCTTAGGT